GAACTACTGAAGAGGGCTTTCAGGAAGGCTACTCTACCGGTATAGTTCTAAGGCCCGAAACCGGTTGAGTGTAAATCTCTTCTTAATTTGATCTTTCAGAACTCAAATATAGATGTAAGAAACTTGTCTGAATTCATTTACTCTCTTTCTCCTTTTTGAGGCTTTCTTAGGGCCGCTCGTGCCCGCAACGCACCTGCGTCTCTCTAGCGTGTTTTCTGATCACTAACTAGCCTCAATTAGGTCACGAAGCCCCGCCTTTCCGAAGCCAAGCCAACTGAATCAAAATTTTTGAGAAAGAACTGCTGACGTCGAGGAGATTTAGAGTGTAAAAATCAAGTATTTTCGTTGTACAAATGAAAGCATATCCATCTTTCTGTTTGGCTTTGCTGAAATTTTCTTTTACAAATTTTGAACAGAGGCTCGGCAACTTCGAACATCTCGAAATTTTATATGGAAGGTTGCTTGCACCCCATATATGAGAACGGAGCAGGCCCGAGCGCACAGCATGCTGCCCCAGCCTAGAAAATTGCCCCTAACCCGTGCGGGCAAGCCATTCTTACACGCGCTCGGACGATTTCGCGAACCCCTCACACCATCAGAGGCCGCATGCCAAGATTCTATGAACATGCGGGTCCCACAAACGTGCGGGAAGTATTCCACTTGTCCAATTTCAAAATGGCAGGCTTGGGAAATTATGGTTTCCGCCATTTTGGCGCTCTTAGAAGTGGAATTTTGGAATCAGCGCGTCGAATTGCCGCAAATAAGTGGAAAAACCACAAATCGAGAATGTGGCGAGCCACTGCCTTCAAACACCAAGCTTCAGCCAATGTTTCAGTTGCAGCTGTACAGTTCGCTGCAGAAAATGACATTTTGCAGTGAAGGTTTTATTTCTGATCTAGAGGATTCGCAGTTGCGGTATCCGCAGTATGTCGCGATGAACTGATCTGCGAATGCATAGTGCCACACGCTTCTAGTGTACACAAAGCTGGATTGTTGAAAGCTTGGCTCAGCAAAAGGCTTAGTAAAGAGCAAAAATGTTCTATCTATAGTAGAAGTACTTCTGTGCCAAACAGGTTTGTTAGGTGTTCCTTTATTTCCAATCACGGCCTAACGTTTCGACGCCTTTCGTCTTCCTCAGAGGCCCTGTGAATACCGCTGCTTGGGGTTCCGCACCGGAAATGATGGTCTTGGCGGATAGATGTTCTATCTATATTTTGAGGGTGTCGCAGAGACCAAACCGGTGCAAAATGACACAGCACAAAACGCAGATGAGTAACCGGTAACCGGAAGAAGGACAACTACAGCTGGTGACAGACAAGGGCCCGTAATAAAGCTCGGTCACGGGAAATAATCTCCCCTGAGGCCCTCATATGCGGCTTTGTCGGGTGAGATGAGGACTGCCCACTTTTTCGTGGTGTAAGTACGCAAGGTCACCCTGCAGGTGAGCTTCAGATGAAGACCGGCAGGAAGATCAGCTCCCGATCGAGTCATCGGAGATGAGCCGGGCGATGATATAGTGCAAATACTGTGCTAAAGAGGAGACCCAGAAAAAGTCTCGTAAGTTGCTCGCGAGTAACTTACGAGACACCGCAGTTGACGTTCTTTTGCAGAAATCCCAAAACTGCACAAATTCGGGGCTTAAGTGAGTGAGGGTCGATGAACAGCTGATTGCGCGACTAAATCGAAAGAAAAATTTTTTTTGCTTTTTTCTTGCAGTTATTGCTCGTTTTTTCAAAAAAAAACCGCTTCAAATAACAAAAAAGTAAATTTACCTTTCTAACCATTTTTCGCCAAATGTGATTTTTCCTCGTATAAAGGCCAAAATATTGTGTATCTGTTTTATCTCGTCGTTTGCCTGGTGAAATCTCTGCTAGCGGTTATCATCGATTTTTTCGACAGCGGCCGCTATCAAAGGTCGCCATTCCAAGTAGCAAAAATGATGCCGCTAGCCGCACTCGAACCACGGCTCTGCCGCTTGAAAGACTTTAGTCTTATCCATTTGACTAATAAGGCACAAACAGCAGCAACGTTTCACCTTTAAAGGCAGCGTCCAGGCAGATCTGGACCTATGGGGCTTTTACGTGGAAAGTACTCTTGAGGCCTAAACTAAGGCACTGCCCAAGCGGCAGCTCAGGTAGCGCTCTAATGGCTGAGATATTCCCCTCGAAACTGGCCCCCGCGAACGTATTCGCATGGATTCATGGCAGTTTCGCGCCAGGATCCACGCTTTGCGCCATGAATTCATGCGAAACACGGTCGCGGGGTCCAGTTTCGAGGGGAATATCTCAGCCATTATAGCACTACCTGAGCTGCCGCTTGAGCAGTGCCTTAGTTAGGGCCCCAAAAGTACTTTCCACGTAAAAGCCCCATAGGTCCAGATCTGCCTGGACGCTGCCTTTAAAAACGCAAATTTCCAGTAAGTAACCTGCTCTAAATCAATTGCTCCCCTGGCAGTGTGCTGAGGCGCGATGAGATTAACTCCGGTCCGCCTCAAAAAAGATGCCCCTGATGGGGGTTTACTACGGGCAAAGGTAAACAGGGTAAAGCGCGGGGTGCGGCACACGATCGTCGGATACGACCCCCGCCCCCCTTCGGCCGGACCTCGGCACGACCCCCCCCCCCCCCCATTCCCTACCCCCTCCCCCCCCCCCATTCCCTACCCCCTCCCCCCCCCAAATCAGTAAAACGAGCTACCGGTTTTTCAAAGACGATTGATCCACTTTTATCCCCTATGTGAATTTGAAAGAACATAACGCATAGCAGACAAATCACTGATGCAGACAGTCGCGATAGTATAAATGGTATCAACAACTCAAACCAAGCCATGTTTGAAAACGAATGCAGGAAGAACACTAGATATGTGCGGAAAGAGGATAAGCAGATCAAGTAAAAAAATTACATTGCATAATCTATTGTGGGATTAAAGTCGACTTACTTTCACGATAGCGGTCGATAAAGCCTTTGAAAGCCTTTTGCTCGTTTGGTGCCAATGCGAAACGATGTTCGCCATACATCTGCAAGTAACTCTTGCGATCGTACTAAACACAGATAGCATAAAAAGCTTACCTTGCCCAGCCAACCAAAGTGCTTCGCCAAGCTCACAGCTGATGTGCGCATTTTTTGATCTAGACGCAAGAGTTGAAAAACAAGTCAAGAAACTCACACTTATTATCGAGCAAGTAATGAAGGACTAACCAAGGTACAACCACTAAAAAGAAAGAGTTTTTATTCGATCACAGCTATAGAACTAAACATCGATTTCTACAATATCTGACATTTCTACTGGCTTGCCGTGAATCGGTCAAAGCGCTCCAGTTTTTCAAGTTCAGGCTCGTTTCTTTGCGTTTCCAACTCCGTCTCTCTTGCGCGTTTCCACTCAAAGCCGAAACCGGGCGTGGGTGCTTGCAGGCCAAAGTTATCGTTTGGGCCCCCTTGACTTGAATAGCTTTGTCACGCCTGGAAAAAATGTTTTTGAGGAGATTAGAAGAACTATCATCATGTACCCTACTTGTTTACTTTTTCAAAAAACGCATGCGAAAATGCTCCAAATCAGAACCGGGTCGGCATTCCATTATCAGTTACAAACTTATACTCCAATCAAAACGGAGAATCCAATAACAAAAAAGTCCACTACAAGCTAAACTGCGATTCCTCAGCCACACTAAGACTCTCCCAGCATAGCGTTTTGGTCTGCCGATAGCGCACGGCAACTATGCATTTTCAGTACTTTTATGAAACAGTGAATAACGTTTGACGGAGTAAGCGGTCACCGATCGGTTGCTGAATAGCTAAGGTTCCAAAGAGGCTTTCTTGTTTTGGTTCCATATTCCCTCCGCATTTAAGCAATGATGGTAGATTTGGGTAGCAATATACTGTGTGTCCCTCAATGTTCCTCGGACATCGCCAACAAGACAAAGTGATGCTAAGCATCCGCCAACAAGATAAAGTGATGCTAAGCGTCACTGTCTCATAAGCATGGCGTGTATCCTACAAACGAGTACGTCAGTCCATACAAAAATGAAAGAAAAAACTGCAAACGATAAAAAGAACCTCGAAAGAATGACAGACCAAAAGCAAAGATTGCAAAACTCACTCAATCTTTTCCCCTTTGGCTGATCCAAATTCTACTCCATGAGCATCAGCGACGTACAAAACGTTTGGCGGCAGAACTACACGGCGCCCATCTCTGAATGCTTCCTAATGAGAGACATGGGCTGAACCCTGTTGCTTAACAGTCTAACACAGAGGACTGGCAGAAACAGAAGCGTGTTTATGAATACATACAACCCATAACAAACTCAAAAAAAGAGTAAAAGCCAAAGGTATCAATTTTCCATACCTTGTGTAATAGTAATTTTCAGCTAAATAGTTTAAGATGAATACCACCAGGTAGTGAGGGTAGTTCTGCAGAATCTGGGTGCGCTGACTGCGTCTTAGGAAAACGTAGCGGATTGTGATATACAGCCTAAAAGAGTATAAATGTTGAAGGCAAAAAAAAAAACAACAAAGAAGCAACAATACAAACCTTTCCGCCTTTCCAAGGATACCGGGTGCTGGGGTACCTGGCAATCTGTCTACAGCCAATAACTTATTTCGAAGCCACGTCCAAAATGTTGTCTGCGTACGGTTCTTGGTCGCTGCATCTGCGATCTTCCGACCGCTTATGGCGACTGAAAAGTGGATGAGGAAGAAAGCCACAATAAAAGTGTAGAGTGCTTGAAAGAAAGAGGTGCTTGAATTTAACGAAGAACGACATCAACCACCACTTCTTGCAGCTAAATTTCATGCAGATGTGCTTTCGAAACATGGCACACAAAGCACTAGCACTTGCATCTCAAAGTAGTGATAAATGGAAGTAAAGAAGATATAGCGACTCCAAAAATATCAAAATTTCGAGAGGAAATCAACAAGGGAAACCAAATACGAGCAATGATAACGCAAACTTCTTAGGTTCATTGGTATATCGCAGCTTTTGCGCAAGTTCACTGGGAAATGATAGCATAATACATGTATTTTTTCTGCAGAAAGAAGCTAGAAAAATAAGGCTGTAATTTTCAGGCGGTGGCGCAGCGCATGGAATGACTCGTACCTCTAAAGCTATCAGACATCAGTGAATAGTATCTGTGTGTATAAACTCAAAAACTAAAAACTATAAACTCAAAAACAACAAAAAAGCTCCGCAAAGTAACTTATCACAAGGATTCCAGACGCTCTGATAATCGTACGGCTTGTGCGAATAGATCGAAACTGTCTCTGAAAAAGATAAAAAGGAGTACAAATTCTAAAACTGTCGCAAAACAATGCAAACCATCCGAATTATTCAGCTTGCCGCCTTTCTGCATTGTTTACGCATTAGCGCAGAAAGGCGGCAAGATGAATAGTTGGTGCTACCGTAACCCGATATTTTGGCAGGATTTGGCAGCCGCACGATGGATGGTAGGTAGTAGAAAAAGCGCTATATCTCATTCTGTGCGGGAAAGTTTTGGATGAAAATCTTACTATGAAGAGAGGAAGGATGAGCTGTTAAAATGACATAAAAATTGTAGACATTCGACGGCTTTAAGGGTAAGTTAATGGGGTGCGGCACCCCCACCCCCCTTAAAAGCTGCGGCAGCCGCAGCTTTTGAGGGGGGGGGGGGTGCCGCACCCCATTAACTATATCAAAAAAAAAACAATTTTAGCGGACAATTATATGAATCGATAGCCTAAACCTTGTAGATTCCATAGGACTGTTTGGAGCCTGATTCGTCTTTTTAGCTCTGAGTAATATTTGGTGAAAGCACAACGATCAAAAGCGAAAAATGGGAAAAACGAGGTTTTGGTTGGCTTTTAATTCCACAGTTTGGAGGTCTTCTGAAGCGCGATTCCTGAGGTGGACAAAGACGGAGTAGTGCTATGTCCTGAGTGCAAAAACGGATAGCTAATTCACCTTTGAAACAAAGTTAACCATGTTGGAATTTGACCATTTCACTTAGGTAGCCTCGTATCTTGAATCTTCAAAATTCGCTCACACTTTGTCTACAGGGGTTATTTGACATGCTAATTATGGATAGGATACGATTATCATGTTATCACTATCATCAGATTACCCAACTACGACCCCCTCCCCTTTTGACTCCTCAATACGACCCCCGGTGCGGCGTGCCGCACCCCCCGCTTTACCCTGAAGGTAAATGCAACTTTATTGTGAACTATTTTTTTCTATCGGTAATTCAGCTAAGATAGAAAATGGAAAACCATTTATATGCAATTTTTATGCTCCGAAGATGTAACTGGAAATTTTGTAATGTTTCACAACGTCGTTTTTAGAGATAAAACCAAGTTTCTTTCTTTCGATACCTATGCAGGTGGGTACGTGTATGCATTTATGAGTTCCATATTTTTCGTAAGTTATAGACCAATTCTTACTTTCTGTCTAATTGATTGAAAAAGCAAAATTCAACCCTTCACATCAAATCATGTACAGTCGAGTAGATTTCCCGCTTGATATAGTGTGCTTGCACAAAAGGTGAAATGCGGCAAAATTTGCGCGTAAACAAATAGTTTCGACTGTGACGCTGGCCAACTGCGGACGCAACCGGCAGTACTGGCGTGGCTACTTCTTCACGCGCAAATTCTAACGCATTTCACCTTCTGTGCAAGCACCCTATATTAAGCGGAAAATCTAATTGACTGTATGTATACTTTCAGGCCACTCAAATGTGAAGCAGGAGAGGTAGACCGTTAGTTGCCGAGTTAGCAATGTTGTCTACAGATCGTAAAGGATGCATAATTTCCGAAGAAAACAAATGTGTCGCACTTTTCCGTGTCAGGATACCATGCTCGAGGAACAACCACTAACGTTGCTCGTGAAAGCTTCGTCTCATCGTGCAGCTTTCAGCTATTGTCGCATCATCATTTGCGATAGTTATGATTGTTTGATTTAGGTGCAATTACAAGCGGGTTACCGATCTTACGCAGAAGAACTCTACATCATATTTACGCCACATAATTCAAAACGCAGTGCAGATGATCGTTTCTGAAGTGTTGTGTTTTTTTTTAACCAAACTATTCTGTTTAACAAACATCGATTTTTATGCAACGTAATTCTGGGAATTACAAAATTGAAGGATATTTGAGAGTAAATAACTTTTGTGCGGCTCTCTTCACATGTCTTTAGTAACGATGCAGGACTGGTCCAGAAATCAATCAACAAAGGCTGCGAGGAAAACAGATAGTAATCTTTAATTCACATCTTTACCATAACAATCGGTTGGAATGCTGCATACTGTTGCAGTTTGGTTCAATTGTGCTACCCTTAGAATCTGTTGTGTCTTTTTAGCGTAAAGTCATACCAAGTAAGTGGGATCAAGTTGTTGATAGGAAAATATTATAAATATTGCGAGACACCTAAGTTCCGAAAGCTCTGTCCTTTTTCGACCTATAGTAAAATCATGTTTCATCAGACAAGCGCCTCAAGTAAAGCAGCTACTATGCTACTGAACCAGTTCCTCTCATTGTCATTGAAATATTCGCTAAAGCTTAAATCTATAATTTTTACATGGCTACTTCAGCTAATTTTCAGAATAACCACCCCATGCCTGCAAAGTTAATCTAGTGGGTAGCAGATGAAGCAGAATTTTGTAACATATCTACACTTTCTGTCTCTCCAACTTTTGTTCAGAAACAGGGCCCGGCACGAGGTTGTCAAATGACAAGCTTGAAATCGTTTTCGGTAAAAAAACAAAGAGGATATCGTTTTTGCGGGGTCCCGGGCGAAGCCCTGGAAAGAATTGGTAGTTTATGCCCTCTGCTTATTTTAATACCAGTGCGTCACCTCTGCTTCGCAGAGGTTCGCACTGGTCCTACTATCTGTATGCGTTACTCATTCTCATAATAATGACATTGATTCTTACCGCGCTATGCAGACTATCACGATGGATTTGTAAACCGCTACTCATTCCTATAACTTTTCATGTGAGATCGGTAATTTCGCTTGGATGAAACTTTTCCTAAAAGAACAACTGCAGATTAGAATCGGTTTTTGGACTTTTCGTGGCTTGGTTTTCGCCATAAGATACAATAATCACTCTAGGCTACATCTCCGTACAAAAATCCTCTCAAATGATCGGGTAAAATCTTGGCAAATTGAACTTTTACGCAACAATTATTTTTTGGCGCCGTTTTCGCAAAGTATTAAACTTTGTTAAATTTTTTAGGCTAAAGTCCATGGCTTGCAGATTAGCTTGTCAAACATATCCGTACCTTTGCAAAAGGTCTTGCTAAAGGCTCAATTTTACTGACAAAAAGCCAAGTGGACTGACTGTCCGTCTGACTTGTGATTTTCAAAGGGTCCACTGAACGGATCCGCTCAAGCTTTGGTATATTGGACTCTCATACTGGTAGCATGCGCTGTGCAAATTTTGGGCTTAAGATGTTGGCTGTTCCACGAATGTTCCACGAAGTGACAGACAGACAGACTTACACACATCCACACAAAAACACGTAAACATCCTTAACCCGTTATTATAAGTAATGATGTTATGTGCCTTAACAGGCGAACACTGGGGTTCGCGCGCGTCAAACCGCGCCGTCGTTAATTGCCGCACGCGCGACGTCGCTCAAACGATGCTATTTGTAGCAACATACATGACTAGTTCTCAATGCATGCGTAACGATATGGCACCAAATTTTGTAAGCGAACGGAGAGAGGCTAATGGGAACAAAGTATGAAAAATTATGAAAAACTTATGTGAACGGAACGAGTAGCATTTTTTCCAAAAATTTTGCAAGATTGGTAAATGAAGATGTGAATTCAAATGACTCGTTTGCAACGCGCAGATGACGACATGGTATGAAACTTGGTACTTACGTGGACACAAGCCTGTAGGAGTTAAATTAGGAGTTTCATTGAAAAATTATGTGACTGAAGGTTGTGGCAAACTTTTTTCTAAAATTTTCCCGCTACCAAAAAACGTGGCTCGTTTGCAACGCAGAAGGGACGAAATCGCGCGAGATTTGGTGCGCATATGCGCAGTAGGACTAAGTAACAAAGTATGAAAAATTTTGAAAAACTTATGTGAATGAAGAGCGTGCCTAACTTATTTCCAAATTAGCTTGTCATTTGACAAGCTAATGACAAGCTGAGCTTGTCAAAACTCTCAGTTCACATAATTTTTTTCAAAATTTTTCATAAATCTACTCTACACCTAAACATTAGTATATATCGGAATTTTGGTTTCAAACCTCCTCCTCTCCCCATTGCTAGAGGCAAAAATAGCCTCAGCAGTCCCGTTTCCTAAGGGGAAAGCGCGCTCCAATCGAACGGCGTATCGCTGAGTCCTTTAATCGGCGTTTATATTTCGTAGCACCGACTTGGCTGCGCAACCCGTGCGTTTTCCTATTTTTTCTTGTTTCTTATTTTCTTGGAGTTCTCTCCCCAACCCACTTTTATGTGCGTCATTTACTGTAAAGTTTATCACCTTTTTTGTGCATATGCTCTGATTTGATCTTTCCTAGGGAGCCTTATGGCACAATCTTTTTTAGGCAGCCTTATGGCACCCTTTTTATTTGATTCTAGTAATATCTCTTATTTTTGCAAAGTTTGCAAGTATGTTTTTTAGAATGATCCAGCTTGAGCTGAAAATGTCATAAAGGCATTAGCAAAAAGGCTTAAAAAGTCGAAATGCCTCAAAGAATTAGCTAAAACAATTGTCAATGAGGTTATATTTACGGATTGTATTGCAATTCCAGCGTGAGCTGATTTTTCTGCTTAGCTAATCTCTGTTGCTAGATATGGCTCCATATAAAGCTTTTTCCAGAGAGCAGAACAAAAAGAAAGCCCATAAAAGAGCACGACCTCATATCCTGTACATAATGGCGATTTCCATGGCTAAAGTAACTTATGATGTTTCATAATCTCCCAGTTTTCATTAATTTTGACTTTAGAAGCCATCATTTTCCGACTTGTTGTGTTTTTCTGCTGTTTACAGCTCAAGACATGTGGCGCTTTCTTCATTATATATCACTATATAGGGTGCGGAAAAAGTACTGTCCCTCAGTTTGCCTCCTGAAAAACCTCACAGTTGGAGAAAATTCATAGTTTTTCAATTCCTGCATGTAGGCGAGACCTTGTAGACTAGAAAAAGATAAGTTTGATTTGGCAAGGTTTCCTTCTGTCCATTCAATCGAGTGATAACGGCGCGCAGCATCATCGACTATGCGCCGCAGCGTTTGGGTGCAATGAACCGTAACTGTACCACCAGGAGGCATACCAGTTTCAAATTAAGGTAATATGTAGAGCATAATCTCTTCTCCGAAACGCTATACTTATAATGGATCAGAGACTTCAAATTTTGTCTGAACAAGGAAATTTATATCCCAAGCGAATTCCAAAAATTTACGAAAAGAGGCTAGTCAGATATGTTCTTGCTCAATGAATTGGGTCCAAACTAAGATTCGAAATTCCAGATACCAACAAAAAGTAACATGAATAATGAAAAGAACATCGGGCTTTGTATACATGGTAACGATGGTACTTAATATCTGTGCCACGTTCTCTGATCGCGCCCTGTTGCGCCGCAGACGCTACTTCGTTAAAATTTCCCAACTTTTCCCCTACAGCAACCGCGATCCGGATACTTCCAGCATATGTCGAAGACATCACAACATTCCTTATGCGGTAGAAGATTTTTCAAATCCACGTCGAAAACAAAGGAATTCAACAAAAAACTTCACACTTCCTTCAGATTTGTAAAAGGGAGTTGAAAGGTTTGATATGGGATGCGTTGCGAAGAGGGATCCGCCGCTGTTTTAAATTGCAAAATTTTGAAGCCAGTTTTTATAAAATGCAAGAATACATTCACATCTTAGAATTTATGCCAAATTTAGCCGAAAAATCCGGGATTCACGCCGACTTTTTGCCTTTATTTTGAAGGGACAGTACTTTTTCCGCACCCTGTATTTTAGGTTTCACCATGAGCTGAAAGCTTTGGGCAATTGTCGCTATCCATTTGCAAAAAAAGCAGAGCTTATCTGCAATAATCTGTTCCACTATGAGCCAATTCATGCCAAAGCTTGCGTAGGTTATTATTTTTCTATGTTCAATTGAAAAAACAGGCTTTTTGTCAGTCTTTGAAACTTCTGAAATGTCGTCCAAATGTTGTGCTTTTCAATCAGTTTTTGCCACGTGTTGATGGCGATGTGACAAAATTTGCGTGTTCGAGCATCTCCGTTTGCAAAATGCACAAAAAATAATGCTACAGTTTGCTTTTTTTCTAACTCTTCCCCCCCCCCCTTGTGGTCAACAAAGTTGCTGGGTACTATCAAGTCACTCCTGGCGCCATCGCTGCTCTGACAAATCATGGTCTTGCTGTTTAACGTTTGGAGGATGTAGGTCTCATAAAAACTTCCCTTTTCTCTTGTTCATTTTTGCTTTTCTTTTTTCTAACTCTTCCCCCCCCCCTTGTGGTCAACAAAGTTGCTGGGTACTATCAAGTCACTCCTGGCGCCATCGCTGCTCTGACAAATCATGGTCTGCTGTTTAACGTTTGGAGGATGTAGGTCTCATAAAAACTTCCCTTTTCTCTTGTTCATTTTTGCTTTTCTTTTTTCTAACTCTTCCCCCCCCCTTGTGGTCAACAAAGTTGCTGGGTACTATCAAGTCACTCCTGGCGCCATAGCTGCTCTGACAAATCATGGTCTTGCTTAACGTTTGGAGGATGTAGGTCTCATTAAAAACTTCCCTTTTCTCTTGTTCATTTTTGCTTTTCCTTTTTTCTTCAATTTGCTCATCTCCAGCGAGCACTGAATGCAACCATCAGCGTGGATGAAATGCGTGGACACTACCTTTTCGGAAGAAAGCTCCTCCTACCAGCAGTTACATGGGCTCTCTTACCTCTACATCTTCTGCGCTTGGATTTCCCGGCACGTCGTCGAAAAAAACTCAAAACAAAGGTTTTTCAATGTCCCAAACTTGCATCACGCTCGGTAGGCTTTGGTTATCTTATATTTACTTGGTATTCTATAGCGTTTGATGTTCTTATATAATACTCATTCATGAGTTGACTTTTTTTTATCGTAGACATTTTTTTATGAAGAGACTTATGGCAGTTGCTTTTTGGAACTATCAGAATTATGATGGTATTCTAGGTAAACTGCGAGTATCTGTCTAGCTGTTTTCTTCCAGTCTCCTAACTGCAATCAACGCCATGGCTGGCATCCTACCACCGTTTGCAAGGTCAGTTCGCGATGATCTTATGTATTTCACTCGCTGTTCAATTGCGTGCTGCTTGCTGTTTTTTTTTTCGTTTTTATTCTTGTTGTAGAGCCGTCCCTTACATTGGAACTTGCTCACTCACTATAGGCTAGGTCGATTTGGTCTCTGTGGTTGCGGCGTACCCGCCGCACCTTGATATATTTGTGTGTGTTGTTCTCTAGTCATTCCTAGTGAACCCTCGGCATGTACGTCGATAGGCAGAGGGGGAACTCTTGTGTTTTTCTAATAAATCGTCAACGGCTCAACGCGTTCCCAACAACTGGCGATCAGGATCAAGGACAAGAAGACCTCCACCGATCAAGGACCAGAAGAAGCTCCAGCGACCAAGGACCAGAAGCCTCGATCGATCAAGGACAAAAAGAATTGCTGCAGCTCAAATCGAGGAGGAATCTATCACTGGTCGAGGAGCTAGGAAGTAAGCTTTACTAAGAGTTATCGATTTAGCAGGAGATTTCGTCGACACCAGGGAAGTCTACCATGCCGAAAGTCAGTGAAGAGCGGCATGGCGACTCCCTGGTGATGGTCCTGTCGGTCATGGTCGACCAGATGCGGCTACAACAAGAGGAGGTGAAGCTGCATATGCAGCTTCAACAGGAACAAATGCAAGCTCGACTACAAGCCCAGCAGGAACAAGTGCAGATGCAGCTGCAAGCTCAGCAAGAGCAAATGAGGACGCTGGTCTCCATCCTGGTCAGTAATCAAGGAGCCGTCCAAGACACCAGCAAGGATCAGTATGATCAGCTGAGTAAGGACGTGCAAAGGTTTGTCTCAGACGAGGAGACAGGTCACACCTTTGCGTACTGGTACGGTAGGTACGGACCGGTCATTCGCGACTCTCAGCTTCCGGATCAAAAGAAGAGCGATCTGATCCTTATGAAGCTGGATGAAGAAGCATACAGGAAGTACGCCGATGAGGTTCTGCCTGCGCAATCAAGCGACTTGGACTTCGATACTACCGTCGCGAATCTCCAGAAGCTGTTCGCCTCCAAGAAGACTCTCATCAGAAGACGGTATGAGTGCCTAAGGATAACCTGCCCTCCGCTCACGCCAGCGTATGTACCGTTTCGCGAGACGCCAACACTATCAAGCGGATGGACGAGGATGCCTGGCTTAAGGAGGTCGATTACACGGCAAGGAAGACGCTGCAATCAGGGTCAAGCGTGTGATGCGACTGTCGCAACGGGGGGTCGTAAAGGGGGCCTACGGTGAGGGGGGGGGGGGTCGTAAGAGGGGGTAGTTTGGATAAAAAAACGTACGATTGAAAGCAAATCAAATAGCAAGTAATTATTACATGTTCTTAACAATAAATTCATGGAATGCCGTGTACCAAAGTATCAAATAAAAATGAGTGAATAATATTTTGAAAACATTTGCAAGCGTAGAAATTCGCTTCATTTGCTGCACTTTTGAAAGATTATGACTTAGTTCTTTTTTATGGGAATCGCTATTTCTCCCGCAAAATATTGTCTCAAACGGGGATCGAACCCTGCTGGCTTGACTAAAATCAAAAAAATAAACACTTTTAGAAGCTCAAATGCTACTAAAGGCATGTATGTGTGATAAAGATGCTGGATGTACCGAATGGCGTGGACATCCTGCTTCCGAAGGCTCACTGAAGACTCGCGCACTCGACAAAAGCGTACATGTAGATCAACGATGACAATCAATAATTCGTGAATCATTTTGTAATGCCATTTATGCGGCCCTTACAATTTATATGTACTTTAGATAAGCCCTGCTACTGCTGTGCGAAATCTGGTGTTATTTTATAAACTGCGGATCTTCTTATGATTTTATGTATGGTAGCAAAAAATGAGAAAAGGGGGGTCGTATCTGCGCCTGATCTAAATTTCTCCGGAGCTATCGAAGCTTGTTAGCTGCAAACTTGCTGTAATACGAGGCCATCCTTCTAGTTTTTATCATAAGAATTTCAGGCTGTTTTATAACTTCTCTGCTAAGTTACAAAATTTTAAGCACAAAAATCCCAGTTTTTGCTTTTTAGGATCGCATCTAAGCGAGAGCCTGATCTAAATTTTTCGAGCTCACTGCTCCTCAAGGGCTGAAACTTTTTCTATGCATAGTCTGGGCACTATGCTACAAAACCTGTTCTTTGCAGCCTCCCACTCTTTTTCTGGCCTTAGTTACGAATTTTCAAACTACCGTGCTCATGCATGTTTTTGACGTCGTTCTGGACGGCGCTAAAGCGGTTTTTTTCGCAGGAATAACTGTGGAAGAGGTAAGAACTGAGCTCCTTAGTCGAAAACATCTTGTAGTTCAAGAATGTCATTTTATTCTCCGTGTAAAAATTTACGGGAATCGAATTTGCTGGTCTGATGTATGCCTGAAAATTCTAAAGTAAACTTGCAGAATCTCAAACATTAATGAAGGTGTGTATATGTGCTAGAGATGCTGGGCGCACCCAATGGCCTAGAAATTCTGCTTCCGAAACCTCACTGAAGTTCTCACGCAGGTGTTTTTTCGTTTATGCAGGTTACCGCGAGAAATGTGGGCAGGGGAGGTAAGGGGGATAGATGGGGGAGGGGGAGGGAGGAGGGGAGGGGAGAGGGGGGGGGTCGTACGGATGGGTACCTTCAAGGGCGGGGGTCGTGAATGAGGGTCCAGGATCGCATCAACACGCTTGACCCTGGCTGCAATTCGTAGCAGTTCTTCAAGATCCCTCACTTAGGGAAATTCGCCTTCGGATGATTCGTCGACTGGACGCTTACACGGACGAAGCACCGTTGACAATCGAGGACCTAGTCGCGGAATGTGAAAACTTCACTGCTCTGAAAATGGATAATACAGACATGGAAGGCACGCGAGACATTTATGCTATATGGAAGAAAAAGGTAAATTGCTTCATTTGCGGAGGACCACATTTCAGAAGAGAGTGTCTCCAATCTGGCAGCACTGGTCAGAAGAAGCGACGAAGGACAATTGCAAAACACTTTGGTCGCAAAGGACAGTGCAAGAATGTGGTCGCTTTCGACGCCGAGAGTGCGCGAACATACCTCGACGTCGTAGTCAGAGGACGTTCCCTCAAGCTCCAACTGGGTACGGGAGCGGACATAACCCTGATATCGCGAAAAGCTTGGAAGAGGATGGGATCGCCTGCTCTGGAAACCTGTATTATGCCAGTCAAAACTGCAGACGGGACGCCGATGCAGACTTATGGTAAATTTCAAACCGATTTTTCACTAAGAGATCGACATACAGGGAAGATGGTTTATGGAAATGGCACATGCTACGTCACCGACGGCTCGAATCTGCGCATACAAGAAGCTGAAGGACAAATACCATTGCAGAAAGGTGGCTAGCGAAGAGGAATCTCGAGCCGAAGTTGTCACTGACTTGAAAAGAAGATATGCGGATCAACAGCGAACTAGGAAAGTGTATGAAGAGTAAGGCCAAATTAGTCTTGAAGAATGATGCTGTTCCAGCTTCCAAGAGAAAGAGACCAGTTCCATACGCCACAGCACCGGAACTGGGAGCAGAAATTGATCGGCTGGAAGCCGAACGTGTCATTTCTGCTGTAGAGCACTCTGAGTGGGCCGCGCCAGTAGTCGCCGTCAAGAAGAAAAACGGCAAAATGCGTCTATGTGCCGACTTCTCGACAGGACTGAATGATGCATTGCAATTGCATCAGCACCCATTGCCCACAGCGGAGGAAGTGTTCGCAAAACTAAATGGAGGCCAGCTCTTCACACAGCTCGACTTAGCCGAAGCGTATCTACAAGTGGAAGTCGAAGAAGCATCGAAGGAGATGTTAACCATCAATACGCATAAAAGATTGTATCGCTATTTTGCCTACCCTTTGGGGTAAAATCCGCTCCAGGCATATTTCAACAAATAATGGATTCGCTGATAAGCGGACTAGAAGGGGTAGTTGGTAGTTGCTTATCTTGATGACATAATCATCACGGGAAGGAGTTACGAAGAACACTGCCAAAACTTGGAAGCCTTGTTGACATAATCATCACGGGAAGGAGTTACGAAGAACACTGCCAAAACTTGGAAGCCTTGTTTAAGAGGATCAAGATTATGGATTCCACGTCAGGTTGGAGAAGTGCAACTTTCTCGTGCCAGAGATTTGTTACTTAGGTTGCATCATCGATAAGAGCGGACGCCGGCCAGACCCAAAGAAGATTGAGGTCATCCAGCAAATGCCAGCGCCGAAGAGCATAGCGGATGTTCGTTCCTTCCTCGGCATGATCAACTACTATGGATCATTCGTGGCTGAGATGCGCCAGCTTCGTGCACCCTCAGACGCATTGCTCAAGAAGGAATCAAGGTTTGAGTGGACAAAGGAATGCCAAAACGCCTTTGAACGTGCTAAGGAAGTTTTAGCCTCGGATTTACTCCTCACACATTTCGATCCAGAATTGCAGATAGTGGTAGCTGCCGACGCATCGGACTACGGAATCGGGGCTGTAATTCTGCACAAGATGCCGGATGGGGCCGAGAAGGCTATTTGCCATGCAAGCCGAAGTCTCACTGCTGCAGAAAAGAACTACGGACAAATTGAAAAGGAAGGACTAGCATTGGTTTTCGCAGTCCGTAAGTTCCATCGGTACATATACGGACGCCGATTCAGATTGCTCACCGATCACAAGCCGCTGCTACATATTTTTGGACCAAAGAAGATGGTACCTGTGTACACAGCGAACATGCTGCAACGATGGAAGCTCATCCTACTCGCATACGACTTCGACTTGGAGTACTGCAAGACAACCGAATTCGGACAAGCTGTTGCACTGTCTCGACTGATCCCTCCAAGGTTATTTCAGACCGAAGACGTCGTCATAGCGAAAATAGAAGAAGATGTGCGAACCGTTCAAGCTGCTGCGGTACGAGCGTTGCCGTTAACCTGAAGAAAGATAGAAGAAGAATCCCGTAAGGATGAAACCATTGTGCAAGTTATACGAATGCTGCAATCGGGAGCGTGGCCGTCGCCGAAAGAA